TCCCCCCTTGCTCCCCATTGCTACACAACAAAACCCATTGTGGGGCTCTGGAGGTTGGCTGTACACATATTTTCCAGTGAACCCCTGATGGGCTCACTGCTGGGGTTTCATGTTTCAGGTTCAAACTCAACTGGATAAAGCATTATTCATTGGTACTGACACAGTCTCTGCTCTCTATATATTTCTCTCACACTGGACTTGGTCCTTCGTAAGCAGCTTAGGTAACTCACTGAGAGCAATTTAGTGCAATTACTCAGAACATGGGTAATCTGCACAGAATTATAAAATATCAAGATTTTTAGCTCATGGAAATATCATCAAGTGCCAGGTTTGGCCAGCTGTGCTCAGGCGTGCAGGTTGAAAAGGAGGAGGTAGCTGAGTGAGTGAGCAGGCTCCAAGTCCCTTCTTCCCACCTTTGCATTTGCCGCTTTGTGCATTGCACTTCTGCATAAGATTTCCACAACCTAGAAGCAATCTTGAAATCCAGGAACTGAGTCCACCTATTCATTCATTTCTCAGATGAGGAAACTGAACCAGCGAGGAGCTTTTGCTAACCTAAGATTCAAGTGAGTCAATGAATTAATTTCAGCATGAGAATTAGCACACACATCTCCTCACTTCTGTGTGCCCCATTTGTCATGCCATGCTGGAATAATTCTGGAACCCATCAGTGGGCTGCTTTTCCCATGCCTGCCACTGACTTGTGGCACTGTCTTAACTAGAGGATTTAGAGGACTGGAAAGCCCGCAGAACGGCCATATCATATTATGTTTTTACTAAGGGCCACCTCACTTGCACAATTCCACGGCACCTCTTGGAGTCTCCTTAGTACACAAACTAAGAGACTATGTGGAGCAGCCTTATTTTTACTTTACATATGTGAGAGCAAAAACTGAAATTGGGCTGGACGGTTTTGGTCGGCATTGTGCAAGGGAAGAGCCCAGGCTTTGGAGCCTACAGACCTGAGTTTAGATCTTGGTTCTACTACTTACTGGTTCTGGGAACATAGACAAGTTACTTGATGTCACTGATGTTCGGGTTTTTAACTAAAAATAGAGCTAATAATACCTAGCTTAAAAATTGCTGCAAAGAACTAAATCCAATAATTTATGTAAAAGCTCTATATAAACGCACATCAAGGACATGATACATGTTTTGTTTTTTTTTTCCCTGGAATATAACTGTTCTCCTTCATATACACATACGGAGTTAAAATAAAAGCCAGACATTTTTAAACTTCACCCTTAACTTGGAAACTTCTGGATTTTGTCACAAGCTTAACATTAACCAAATGAAATTTGGGGTCTCTATAAATATGGAACATGGGTTTGTCTTATCTTTTACAGAGCACTTATAAAACTGAGGATTTCCTGGGGGAATATGGCTGTGTGATTTTATGAGAAAATTCTGTAAGGGAAAACTGGAAAGACTAAAAAAATTAAGTGCTGCTCCTTTGCCTCTGGAAGCCCCTGGGTGTCCTGTGGGTTCAGAGGTTGACTGTCCTCTGAAAGACACTCACAGCGAAATCAGATCCCCTTGTTGTACCAACTACTGGAGTGTGCTTGGGACTTGTTAAAACCCTTCTTTATCAGACATCCAGATGAGAACCATAGACCCAGAAGCTTGCTTTCAAAAATCTAGCAAAATAGATGCTTTTGCTTATTTTTCTCTGTCTCTCTTTGTCCAAAATGCTCACTGAGTTTTCATTGGGTTTCGAAGTTGCCTTTTTGTTTTGTTTTTACTTTTAAGACAAACCTTAGAAGAGAGTCACTGTAAAATGAAGGGGAAGGGTGGGCATCCCAAACTAGAAAAGCTCTATCTGAGACTCCAATAAAAATGTTTAAGAACCTGAAGGTGGGGAATCTTAGAGGACAAGAAAGAGAAAGACCGATTCATCCAACTCTTAAAAGGGAATACCTGGCATTATCCCCAGAATTCCAATGTCAGTTTCCTCCCAAGCAAATTGAAGAGAGAGAACACTGCCTTCTCCTCTTTACAAGCATGGTATCTAGCTGAGCAAGGCAGTGTGGCTGGGATGGGCTGTGTTGACTGAGCATGTGCCAAATGTCAGCTGAGGCCCAGGGCCACTCCCGGTCCCTGCATTTTATAGCCAGCTCAGACATTTTAGGTACTGTATCAATTTTCTATTTCTTCTCTAACAAGTCACAGCAACTTTAGTGGCTTCTAACAACACATGTTTATCTTCCAAATATGTTGATCAAAAGTCTGATGTGGGTCTCACTGGACTAAAATCCAGGTGTCAGCAGTACTGTATTGTAATTTTTTTTTTTTTTTTTGGAGGTTCTATAGGAAGATCTGGGTTTTTCTTAACTTTTCCAGCTTCTACTGGTTGCTCACTTACCTTGCCTCCTGGTCTTCTTTTGTCTTCAAAGTCATTAATAGCAGGTTGAGTCCTCCTCACATTGCATCACTTTGATTTTCTTTTCCACCTCCTTCCTCCACTTTTAGGGATTCTTGGGGTTACACTGGGCTGACCTAGGTAATCCTGGACAATATTCCTATTTTCAGGTCAGCTGAATTCCATCAGTGACCTTAATTTCCCTTTGCCATGTACAGTAGCATTCACAGGTTCCAGATATTAGGATGTGGACATCTAGGAGTGGAGGAGGCATTATTGCCAACCTCAGGCACATACAATAACTATGTATTAGGATGTTTAAGTTTCAAGAAACAGGACCTAACTAAAGTTAATAGAAAGAACAAGATTTTATTGGGTTTTAGAAGGAAAAGCTCAATTGGCTTTTGAAGTTCGGCTGGATTCACATGCCCAACAATATCATTAGAGCACTCTCTTTTTTGTCATGGATTTCTTTGTGATGGTTTCTCAAGCCAGGGCTATCTGTAGGACAGATAAAATAGCTCTCAGGCAATTCTGGGCTCACATAGGTCTTAAAACTCAGGATTCCAGAGAGAAAACCATGAGCTCTTCTTAGATAGCACCAGCCAAAGCCTGAGGGTGACTCTCATTGACCTAACTTGTATTATATATATATATATCACTAAGCCTCATTCTAGAGCAGGGATGGAGTCAGTCTTACCAGAAGCCCATGTATTGAGTGGGAAAGGGAGGGGTTCTCCAAAGGAAACTCACAAGTTGTCACCAAAACAAGGGGGAAAGATCTGAACAGGAAAAAGCAATAGGTGCTCACTGCACCATGTTATTACTGGATTTCAGAACCATGAAATTGATATATTATTCCAGTTCAGAGGTCATTAGGCTTCAAGCAACAAGATGTCCAAACTTGAAAGAGTACAGAAGACTCTCACCCAGAGCAAGGAGTAAATTAATTCAGATAGCATGTAAGAAGAGGAATTGCATGGTGGTAAACATTGATTTTGGAAGCAGACTGCCTGGGTTTGTATCCAAGTTATTAATAGTGTTTACCTAACCTCTCTGTGCCTCAGTTTCCTCATTGTAAAGTAGAGATGATAATAGTGCCTACCTCATGGGTCTGTTGTGAGGCTTAAATGAGTCAATACAAATAAAGTGCTTAGAATGATACCTTGACACAGAAAAAGCGTTAAATAATAGCTGAAATAAGTATTATTCTCATATTCATATTTTTATTACAAGTAAGCACCTTGGGCATGGCTTAAGGACTTGGAAAGTGGTGAGGAAGCAAGTCTGATACTTTCCTAGTTTCTTCTTTTCTTGCTAAGGCCACACAGTCTCTTCTCTCTGGTACTTTCTCCACCATCTCAGTGTGAACTGAGGTTTGCACCTGTAACACAGATTTTCATGTGGCTTTTAATGACCATTCTTCTCCCTCTGGGCGTGACGATACATGCCCACCACCAAATGAATGCTGTGTCAGTGTTTCTAAGTTCAAATTCTTGAAAGAATCTCCTTAGTCTGGCCAGTGACTGGCTTTAATCCATTTGATTAGTTGTGACTGACAAGGTTAGGGTCACTTTATACACAGGCTTACCTCTTTCGTTTGTCATGGAAGGGGCAGGTTAAGCTGAAAAGGAAAGTTAGACTTGGCCAGAAAATTGATCAACTTGTCTTTTACAAGTATGCCTTGGCAAATTTGGAGTTTACTCACAGAACAAAAGAGAACAGTTTTAAAGAATACTGATAAGATCTAGATGTTTGGAAATACGATAACACTGGGAACTGCTTAATTCTAATGTGATTTAGACTATAGTATTTGCAGAGAGAAATTGATCAGTCTTTCATTACCTGTATTTTAAATGGTAGAGACATTTTTAACACCAATTAGAAATGCTCAATGGATGGACAAAGACTCCGTTCCCTTTTACATGGAACATCAGTCTCAAAAACTCATTCCTAGAGCAGAAGTTCCTGTGATGGCAAAAGGCTCATGTTCATTGTCAGGAGAGTGGATTCCAGAGTGACCAAAGCTGTCCCCAAATCTTCCCTTTAGTGGCAGGAGAAAAGTTCTACGTTTACTTTTTGTTCACTGTGCTCTTTGTCACTTTTCAGAGCCCCCATGTTTTTTCAGAAATGTCACTCCAGGGTATTCAGACCATCTCAATGGACAGAGGTCTCTGTATCAGAGCCCTTATCAATTTCTCCAAGGACTTTAGTGAGAATCTTTCTGGAGAAGTAGTTCCACAGTGATTGGGAGGGAGAAGGAGTACTGCAGAATTTCTTAGCTCTGAGGCACTACAGGAAGGGTGGAAATGCTTTGGATCGGGGCTGGGTATCTTAGGAAGCACTGAGATTTGGGGGAAGACAAAGCATTGTCAAGATTTTGATAGAGGCCTGCTGGGAAAGTCTCCACTGTAAAGGCTCCTGTGCCCCTTTCTAGTGGAACAATTCGTAGGCTCCACGCTTGCTTTCAAATGGATTGGTTTTGAAGCAGTCAACAAAAAAGCATCCTGCTGCCAGGGCCAACCATCAAAAAGAGAAAAGAGAGCAATGCAAACCGTGGGGGAATGTGCGAGAGAGAAATATTGCAGAGCAGAGCCGTGGCTCTGCTGGCCTGATACCATGTGCATTATCTCCCCCAAAGGACCCCGTGGTTTAATGGATGGGGCTTTAACCTACCCAGAGGTCAGTCTCTGCTGGACAAGTGGAACCTCATCCCTGAGGGCATTGACATACTCATGACACATGGACCTCCTCTAGGTAAGTGAAGCAAAGGTTGTCCTTTGTCATCCAGATGCTTTTTTTCCCCAGGCATAATGAATAATGCTTCAGGGACATAATCATTTTCCTCCAAAAAAAAAAGTGAATACAAAAAGAAAAGTCAATATCTTTAAAGAAACTCAGTATGATAATTAAACTCAGCAGTTCTGCTGGGCTTACAGGTGTTCTTGAAATTAAATTTTTTGATTTAGTCAAGTCAGGGAAAAATCAAATGAGCATGGTGCACCACAGTCTTTTGAGCTTGGTAATTTATTTTAGAACTGTATCCACTTTGGAGTAAGGGGGTGGGGTGGAGAAAGGAAGGAAGATACGGACCTTCCAATCACAGGGCTTTTGAATGGCAATGAAATGATGGAAATTTTTGTTCAAAGGAGCTCATTTTCCTTTTCCATATAATGCTGGAACCTGGGAGACCTTTAAAGTTTAACATTTGAGCTGATAATTTTAGAAAAGAATCCCTTTTTTTAAGCTGAGGTATTTCAGTAAGAACTTACACTGAAAGTTACTGAAGGATACTTATCCCACAGGAACATGGAGCTTGCATCCAGATTTATATTGTCTGTGTGCTTCAAAGCCTACCTGCTAGTGATCCACATTATGGGTCAGGGAATGATCATTTGACTTACTACTTTCTAATTTTTCATGAGCTTGTTATCTGCGGTTTAGCTACAAAACATTCTTCAACCAGGACTACCACCCTGATCCCACATCTACTCAGTACTCATTATGCAAGGACCCTTTGTAAACAACTGAGGTGTGCTCAGGAAATTCAGATGTTCCACTTTTAATAGAAGAGTGTTTTCTTTTTCCTTTCTTTTTAAAATTGTGGCTAACACACACACACACATAACATGAAAGCTACCCTTTTAACAAATTTTTCAGTGTGCAGTGCTAAAAGAGTTTCTTAATCATCTTGGTTTGGAGAGAGGGAGAACACATTTTATACAAATATAAATAATTTCCCCAAATTTTCTTGTTTGGGGTTTATATCCAAATTGCTTCCCTCCTCTGTTATCCCTAAAAATAATTTTAAAAGACTAACATTTATTTCCTAATGCAAATTTAATCTTTGTAGATATTTTCTCTTCCAAGACACTTGGTGCTGCTTTCCCTCTCTTGCAAGGGAAGCGGTCCACGTTTCACAAAGAAACAGTGGAAGGGAGCACCATGGTGGAGGCCACAGTGGCACATTTTAGTGATGAGGGAAGCAAGAGAAGAGCCAGCTCTGTTGCAGACATGGGAATTGTAGATTTCCACAGGATCTACAGCTCCTGACTTTTTTAACACTTCAGAATCACTATTCCCATGCTTTTTTCTCATCCCCAGATTGCCCCAACCCATGTTTTAAAATATTACACTTGTCAACAACCTTTAACAAGTCCTAATTAATTAAGTTCCCTATTTTACAACCATCAGAGTGGCAACATCATTAAATTGCTAGCTAAATATTCCGATCAGCATGAGTTACCCAGTGAGAACACCCTACAGAGTTATCATTACAGCTACCTTCATCCTTTTGCCTGAACAGCCTAATTGGGTGCAGGCATGATTTCCCTTTGGCTGTTTATTTCAAGGGACTTGGACATCCTCAGCAGAGAAACGTTTACATGACTGGGGTATTATTTGGAATATAACTTTGATCAGAACAAACTTTATCAAGTCATTAATTTTGATATTAAAGCAAATGGCAATAAGAGTAAGTCTGAATTCTACACTCCCAAGGATTTCAGTCAGCTCAGGAACTCTTGGTAGGGAAGCTAGCATCCCTCTCTTTATGGTAAAGATGGAGTAAATGAGAGAGTGGCTGTGGGTCGAGCAGAGTGAGAGCTACATCAAGGAGTTCCCAAATAAAAGGTAAGGCAAGATTTTAATAAGGTAATATTGAACCTTAGTTAATACAGCTATTGGGATTCTTGTGAAAACACAACTTTGGAGAGGGGAGTGGAGAGACTGGCCTTGAATTTTTTGCTGCTGGTGAGGGGAGTCACAGTGCCATGGGACTTCACTGTTACTGTATGAGCAAGATGCTTTCTCTGATGTTTTCATATGAAATGAAGTATCTTCCTCCTTCAGGAAAAACACATGCATGAGGTAATATGCCAATCAATGTAGATTAAGGTTTTCCCCCCATTGAAAAAGTTTTGAAAACGCTGGATAGATTTTTGCTAGGGCCCCAATTTTCATCTGTTCTCAGACTCTCTGATCACTCCTCACCCCCCAGCGAATGTGTCTTTACAGAGGCACTAAACATTCATGTTTGCAGTTTGGCCCAACAAAGCAGAAAGCTGTTCCTTACTGCCCTGTTATTTCTAAATAATAGAAATAACCTAATGGTTCTGCGGAATGGATTTCCAGAGATTATGATTTAGCCTTTCATCCTACCTGCCTTTTTATGCCCTATCCTGCTGAGGCGTATGGATTCCAATTCCAGTCCATAATCATCCAGATAGCTGACTTTTGCTATAATTGATGTCAGTTTTTATGGATTTTCTGCATTAAGTGTAGAACTAAGTGGCTTTTACTTTAAAAGTAGTCAATTAGCCCCAGCTTGCTGGATGCCACCATGAGGTCATATTGTTGCCTGTAGCTGGAGAGGACAGGACCACAGGAACAACCTGGCTTTCCAAAGCTTTGGTCATCAGGAAACACAAGGGGTAAGAGTTAGTGTATTTAAAGAGAGCCAGGTATCTCGTGACCAGTTTACAGACAGCCCCTCCTGGTCCTTCTTCTTTGAACCATTTTAGAAGTAAACTGCTATAAGAAAGATGTAATAAAAAAGAGAAAGTAACTGAATAGAGGGAGAAAGAGGTATTATGGGACTGCCAGGAATAAATGTCATTGAGCTCATGAAGAAGATTTGAAAACCATCGCTGAATAAATCAAATCTCTTACAGAAAAAAAAAAAAGTTAATTAACAGGAAGAAAAAAAATGGAAAGCAAAAAAAAAAATTTCAAGAACCTAAAGAAGACGAAGTGACGAGTGAAAAGTTTCTTAAAAGCCATTGTGAGCTTTAATGGAGAGGCTAGGATTACAGATAATGTAATAAACCTTCTGTGAGTTATGGCTTCCTGAAAGTCTAAATGAAACCGTACCTGAAGAAAGAAAATTAAGAGTATTGATTGCATTTTGCCCTTAGGTTTCCGAGACTGGGTTCCAAAGGAGCTTCAGAGAGTGGGCTGTGTGGAGCTGTTAAACACGGTTCAGAGGCGAGTCCGGCCCAAGCTCCACGTGTTTGGTGGAATCCATGAAGGTAAGAACAGCAGAAAGAATTCAAAACATGCCATGTCACTATCCACAATCTCAGTCTACAAACTAGGATTAACTGGAGTCATTGTTTTCAAACTTTTTAGCAGCGGGAGCCTTTTATAAGATGAAGTCTTATGAGAAACATCTGCATATAAAGCTGATAAATATTTTATATGGACCTTTTCTCTTGTAAGGAGAATGGAAAGTAGGAACCACATCTGGTCTACTTTACTGCAAACCCAGCACTCCCCCTGGCAGCTTCTGGAATCTCAGGGCTTTAACGAGGAATGTTTGATAACCACTGCTTTAGAGCAACCCTGAGGTACACAAGGAGTCATTTTCTCCTTAAGAGAGTTAGAAGAAATGGCCTGGATATTAGAAGCTATTTTAAGCCTCTATAGTCCCCTCCTACCTGTAAATATTGTGTTTCATATGGAATTAACACAAAGACTCAGGAAGACAAGGTAGTCTCTGAAAAATAGCTGGGACATCCAATGAAAGATAATGTAACAGAAGTGGCGGGAACCCACACATTTGCAGGAAGACATTTCCTTACTAACCTCAGAAAACTATAGCAGACTTCTCAGAAATCATCAGAGCTATTAGCTCAGGCTGAGGTTAAGCAGAATAATTAAATCTCTCTTAAATGGGAACTGGTCCAGTTGCCATTTTTCTGCCTTTCAAGGTAAGCTGAGCCAGGTTCATAGAACCGAAAGCCTCACAGGAAACTTCAGGGATCTGGGTTTTCTCTGAGCTGCCTTTTTCAAATCAGGGGTACTTGGGACAGATACAAAGCCCTCTTTCAGCAAGCCTGAGGATCTCTGTCCCTACCAGACTCTCCCAGTTACACTCGCTGTGTGCAGTGGCCATGTTTACGTCGGCAGCTACTATATTCTCTCCAGCTCCTGCTTATAGCGGCTCTCTGGAGTTATTTATGAATCTGCAGTCAAGTTGAGGTGTTTAAGTCTCTGTGCCTGAGGAAGCAAAAAAGAAAGTTTGCTTTTTCAAAGCCCGCAAATCCAGTGGCTTCCTGGTTAGGCAGGTAATAAAGAGCATATTGAAAATCATCCTACTGAGGCCAGAGAAAATTCAGCTTGCTCCAAGTGCAGGTACCAGCTGAGTGGATAGAAAGCAGGGTGCAGCTCCCAGAGAGTGGATGTCAGCCTGCCCTGGATTTGAGCTGTGCTCCCTGAAGAGGAGGGCACTGCCCTAAGGTATGATGAAGGGAACACCTGAAGGGGAGACCAGAGAGGTGGGACCTCATTTCTAAACTAAGCAACATTTCTGGGGGACCGTTATTCTGAAAATGGGTCTGAATTCCTGCAGCATGCCTATGAGTTTGCATTTTATCTTTTTTTAAAAAAATAATTAATTACCTTTAAACTATCCAAACAATTGGGGAATTCCACTGAAGCCCCAAAATAATAAACTTGCCTAAAAGAGAGGAGATCGTATTCAAATAAACTTGTCTCACTTTTATTCACTTAAGACAGCTGAAGAGGGCAGGAAGAGGGCAAATACCAACCTCTTGATGGAGAGAGATAACAAGACTTTATGACCCCAGAACTAAACAGCGCAAATTTTAAATGCCTCTTTCTTTTCTTAAGAGATTTTTCCATTGACCCTCATTAAGCTCTCCACAGGCTTACTTGGAGAAATTTTAGTAAATGTGGAAAGAAAGCCTTTTTAGTTACTTCCATAAATCTTGGTAGTTTTCTTTTTTTCACAGCTATATTTTTATATGCCATAAGAGCCTGATACCAGCATAGAATTACGATCTTAGTTGAAGAGGCTATAAGGTAAATATAAGGTATTCAGGGAAATGTGCAAACTTGCAAACATGCTAAACATTTTAACGTATTGAAAATTATCAAAGGAACATACACACCAGAGACCTAGGGAAACAGCTTTCTCCAATAAATCACGATAGGTTTATATTTCATATGGGATATGTTTTTGCTTGATCTAGTATCCAGGTAAACTGAGGAAACAGTGTCCCGGGGTGATGTTTCTAAACATCACTTGAACATGTGACTAGCTGACACTTTTGAATGAAAGGGAACTTAGTAATAAAGCCACACAATTCAAAAATCATATATGGGTAACTTTCATAAAGGCAATTAAGAGATTATTTCCTAAATGAGTAAACTGAGCATCTGTGTGTCTTAACTCCCAATGCAGTATCCTTTCCCTCTCACCTGCCCCATATCCCACTTGGAATTTGGTTCTGTTTGCCCCTGAGGAGTAATCCTTATATTACTCATTTTATTCCCTAGAACTCAATAGTTAACACAAGGCTTTGAAATGAAAATCCTATTTTAAAAGGAGAAAACAAAATGTTTTTTTCTTTTTTCTTCCTAGTAAAGAAATTACAGCCCCTTTTCAACAAGCTTGGCATTTAAATAAAGAAAAAAAAATAATAATTCTTAGTTGAAGGAGTGGATTCTCCCATTTAAAGAAAATAGAATAAAATTGGGCAGTAGCTTCTGAAAGTCATTATATCCATTATATCTGAGGAGGCTCTATTGAGTTTCATCTCACTGCCCACTGACAAAAATTGTTTGTTTTCCTTGTCTGACAGCCGTACATTCCGTCACTCTCATTTGTATATATTGCAGTAAATGTGACACTCTCTCCCCACAGGTTATGGCATCATGACCGACGGTTACACAACGTACATCAATGCCTCGACGTGTACAGTCAGCTTTCAACCGACCAACCCTCCCATTATATTTGACCTTCCAAACCCACAGGGTTCCTGAAGCTCTAAATGCCCTATTGGAATGTGAGGGAAGGTCTATAAACTGCCATTTTTCTAATTATAACTTACATTCTCTTACTTCTTTCCAAACCCTGTGAGTTCTTTTTGTAAATTGTTGGAACACAAATGATGCTAGAGGTTGTGCTTCTTCTTTATTTTATTTTATTTTAAATGGGGCATCCATTTGAAATCAGAGGAACATTGTGAATTTGTAAAATGACTTCTGTTTTCTCAAAGGCCATGCCACTGTAAATTGTTAGTGTTCGCCAAAGGACAGCCAAGCTTTCTTTTAAAAAGTGATAAAAGTCTTATTTTAAAATGCTTTAAGCTGAAAGAAAAAAAATAAGAAACAGGTAGGCAGTGTTTTAAAAACCAACCCGGATTTGCACAACTGTTTAAGAGTATTGTTTGAAATATTTTAATTTTTAATGTTTTGTTGTTGTTTTCTTGGTAATGCTTCTTCTTTGCAGATGTGGTCCCGATTTATAGCAATCTTCTCAACAGAAGTAGGCATGGAAAAGACTCCACACTCTCACTATAAAGAAAGCTGCATTGAGAAGAAAATGGCCATCATTTAAAGGATGGTTTAGCTAGTGAGATTCCTATTGTGGTTATACAAGGTCTCATTGTTTGTTTCTTTTAAATTATTTTAGCTTTAAAAATACAGAAATGGAATCTATCAAGAGCAGGTATTTCATACGGTTAAAAAAAATGAACATGCAGACTCCTTTTCAATAAGGGTTTATATATATAAGTATTTTTTGTGTATTATGACTATGTTAGGAGTTTAATATTGCCAAGGACAGTACAACTGCAAAGGGATGCTGTATAGCAGCACATCAGAAGTCAGAAGGAACTGACATATTTTCTCAGAACTCAAGATCTTAAAGAGCTTGAGTTAAATCTAGGTACAGTTACAGGCGTGTACAGACTTAAATGGATGCAATGGAAGCTAACTAAAATAAGGCTTAGTTGTCCTTTCTATTTAAATACCCTGAATTGTCTTCTTACTTCCCCTCCCCCTCCCATTTTGCACTGTGTGTCGATGCAATCTTCGCTAGCACAAAATATTGTCGCTAATAGTCATTTCTGTTTTCCCATTGTAAATGCTGTTGAGCTTTATTCTATTTTATGTTACCTTGTTAATGAAATTTAGGAAAGCAGTTGTTTCTTTAAATTTATTGTGATATTCTATATCTAGCGGCCTTTATATGCAAATAAAATTGCAAGATTTTTAATTTTGCGCTGTTTGGAGGGTTGGCTGGTGGGAGGATGGTAGTTTTTTCCTGGGGAAGGAAGGATTTATTCATATGCTACATCAGTAATGCCTTTCAGAAGAATTAGAATAAGTGATTTTTTCCCTAATTTTCAATAAATTTTTATTACCCACCATTCACAGGCTGGCAGGTAGATCGATAAGGCACTCAGTGTACTCTTTCCTTCCATCACGCTGTCATCTATCTTGCCTTAGGTTTCATCTTTGGCTGTTGTAATTTCTACAGAAATGGAGAGACTGCGATTAAGGCTGTGGATGTATTTTGGGCAAGTTTGTGATAGTGAGTTTTGGGAAACAGTTGATGACAGAGTAATCATTGCACATTCTCATTTTCCCGAAGAGCAGTCACCATCTCCTCCTCACTAGTTTTTTAATGATGCCTACCCACAGAATGGTTGGTTGGAAAATGGCAACCAATAGGGGGTAGGCAGTAGGGTGCCAAAAAACAAGAAAAATATAAAAGACATCACACGGAAAAACCACTGAAGAAAAACAACATAATCTTGAATCTGCAATGCATCCCCAAATGCATTATGTTCCAGGGCTCATTGGATTGTATTCTGCAATGTGTTCCTTCCTTCCTACACATTGTGGATCCTTTGGTGCAATTCTTGAAAGGAGCCCTTGGTTTCAGTACCAGCAGAATTGAGAGAATGTTCTAGGCCAGAATTCCTGCTCAGATTCATGTATAACCATCTTGGTATGCTGTAGTTGTTAATAGTTATTAAGCATTTTGGATGTCACCGTAGGGTGTGATGGACATTTGGGTCCAAGCTTATAGAGCAAATGCTTGAGCTTCCCCATGGGCTTCCCTGAAGGAGGGAAGCTCCTTCATGGCCATGGTAGCTAACATGGACCAAAAGAGGTACTATGACAAGTGAACAACCCTTTTTTGACCTTCTACATCATTAGAAGAATGCATTGACTTCAAGCGCCTTCCTAAGGAGTTGGAGTGAGTGGTAGACTACTGAAGAGAAATTTCAACTAGTTCTTATACCAGAAGCTAGGCTTAGGCCTCTGGCTTCTGGAAAAACAAGCCTTTTAGATGTACGTGGATAATCATGATGACAACTGTGTATGCACAATCCTTGAGAGTTTTGTCTGGACACAAACTAATTGAAGTAAGCACTTAATAAAATTGCTTTCCATTTTGTGGAAGCAGGGAGCTACCCCGTGTGCTAAATCTAGAAGGCAGACTCATTTGTGGATAAAGCTTTCTTCAGCCAGTCCACCATTTCGTATGCAGGAACTGCCTCTGAGGGATTCATAATCACTGTCCAGATGCCCAGAGCTTTCTCCACTGGGCCTTACAATAAGTAAATATTCAAAACAGTTCTTACAAATTAGGCACTTCCTATCCTTCCATCACCAGGCAATCTGTTGAGCAGGTTGTGTACTTTGTTTCTAATCTTCACAGAATCCTGGGTGAGGTCACATTAGCCCCGCTTTACAGATAGGAAAGTAAGATGTACCAAAAGTAAATAACTTGCCCTAGGAAAATGGAAGGTTCAAAAGCAGATCCATCCATAGCCCATGCCCTTTTAATCATTCTGTGTCTGGACTGGATAAGCTGATAGCCTCTGAGAGCTGATAAAAGACTGGCACAAGCCTGGGGGATATATTCTATCCCTCAGGCAGCCCCTCGCTGAAACACCTTGCAATGTGGCTCCATGACAACCTCATATGGCACCACATCCTCTCTGTCGAGGCTCAGCACAGAACAGTGGATAAGAGCACAGACCCTTGGGACAGTGTGCCTGTCCACATACTGGCCTCTCCTCGGACTAGTGCTTCGCCTGGGTACTCACTTTCTCTGTAAAATTGGAGTGATGAGGAGGAAGTTGTTCTAAGTGCCACATGAGATCATTGTTGGAGATCACTGCCTGATATCTAGTAAGTGGTGCACATGTGTTTGTTAAAGAAGGTCATCCATGCTTTGTCTTTAGATTTTCCAGGCAGGATTCTGTACCCTCCCCCGCTTTGTGTGTGTGTGTGTGTGTGTGTGTGTGTGTGTGTGTGTGTGAGAGAGAGAGAGAGAGAGAGATATTAAGACACACAGAGAGAGAGAGAGAGAGAGATATTAAGACACAGAGAGAGAGAGAGAGAGAGAGAGATTAAGACAGAGAGAGAGAGTCTTGCTCTGTCACCTAGGCTGGAGTGCAGTGGCACAATCCCAGCTCACTGCAACCTCCACCTCCTGGGCTCAAGCAATTATCCTGTCTCTGTCTTCTGAGTGGCTGAGACTACAGGCCTGCACCACTGTGTCCAGCTAATTTTGTATTTTCAGTAGAGACAGGGTTTCCCTATGTTGCCCAGGCCGATCTCTAACTCCTGAGCTCAGGTGATCCGGCTGCCTCACCGCCTCCCAAAATTCTGGAATTACTGGCCTGAACCACCTTGCCTGGCCTCCAGGAAGGATTCTACCTGATGACTCTCCAGCCTCGAAAGCAGAAGTGGTATAGTTTCTGAGAAAGTTTGTTTGCATTGCTTAGGAATTGTAACAAGCCTCTTTAAAAAAGGATAGGAAGAAGCCCAAGGGCATTAATAAGAGGCGATAAGGGAGCCTAACTTCCCTGTTTGGCTATTATACTTTGCAAAATCACTTCGAATCTCCAAAGAGGAGGAGATTTCTACTCTTTCAAGTTGCTAGGGCACCCACAGATCTGCTTATTTCACGCAGCATCTCTCTGCCCTTACAATCTTTCCACTCCACCTCACCATCCTCTTTTAGCACAATTAGTGAGCTCTTTTCTATGTGTGTTCCACACAATTCCCTTTTGTCTTATGTTGGGAGGTTGCTGAAATCCCTTTGAGAAACAGGTCACTGTTATTCTGACAGGTGGCCAGCTTTAAGCCTGCCATCATCTCCATCATTTAAGTAAATAAATACCGTGACCCAGGTCTTAAGTAGGGAGAAACGGAAGCTGGGAGGATTTGGGATTTGTCAATTGTAGATGAAACACTTGCTGTGTCTCAGAATAATGCCCCATCCCCACGCTCACCCAGCAAGGATGTACAGCTTTGGCAGAGTCAACATCCAGGTATTATTTTGCTTCCTAGTCCCTTTTCATACCCTATTCCCTCTTTCCTGAAAGTTTTAAGATGCTTTTGGTCTAATTATTAAACAAAAGTGAATTAAGATCTACTTTGCTTTGAGGATTTGGCCATGAGTTGAGGCATTTGGAAACACTGCTAAGCATAGGGTAGGAACAATTGCTTATGGGGAAGGTTCCAGGATTGGACAGTCTTAACGTGTGTTTTCACAGAAGGCTCTAGGACCACTTCTGGATGTCAGGTTCTTAGCCCAAAATGATTTTTTTCTTCCTATTTTGCATTCGATGCAGAATGTGTCTGTCTTCTAGCATGGCCCTTCCAAAAGGTTAGAGCTACTTTTCCCTTCCTTTTCTAAGTGTCCCCCTTTACCTTCCTCTTCCTACTTTGCTCTTCCACAGGAGAGAAAAACATTGATTCACAAGACTCCCTGGGAAGCTCCAGTCTTCTCTGGTCCCCCTATAAAGTCAGCCTCTGCAGATCAGGAGAGGTTCAGAGAGGGTCAGTGGCGTCACCATGGTCACAGAGCATTTCAAAGATAATGCCCCACATTGGCATTTGGACATTCCATTTGGGGCATGAACTGCTTTTTCAACTTGGCATTCAGAAGTAATCAAAGATGGAGAGATCAGTTTTGGCCCAACATAGTGTCATTTTGTAGCAGAGGACAAGCTGCCAATCTGTGAGGAGAAAATCAGATTATTTGAAAGAAACCTCTGAATCTGGGGTTTCCCATGAGTGTTCCCATGAGGGTTCACTTTCCTTTTCTTCAACCCTCCACCTGCAACAATTCTGATAGTCTTCTACTTCCTCCTTCTACAAGAGAGATTGGTGCTCAATTTCTACCTTTTCTGCCTCAGAACATGGATGACTGTTTGTCATGTGTTTTGACATACATGTGTATGTCAGGTCTAGAAGCTGTTGGGTGTTGGTAGGAGCCCTCAACTTTGGAATCAGACATGATAGGTAGCCTTGGATGTGCTCTTTTATTTCTGTCAGGGTCAGATTCCACACTTGTAGAAAAGGAATCATTCACATATCACAGTGGATTTGTCAGAATTGATACGGTAATAGCGACAGGACCCTGGGTGGAAGATTTTTATTCTGTCAATTGTAATTTCCGAAAGCAAAGCAAAGCAAAGCAAAACAAAACAAACAAAAGCAACAACAATAAACAGCAGGGGCAGAGGGCAAAAATTAACATTTATTTTATTTTCTGATGGTTACAGCCCTTGAGGAGAGGAAAGCTAATTCCTTGAACTGGACTGCGTAAGAAACCATACAGAAAACGAGTTCAACGAGTTCTTTAACTTTCTCTCTCTCTTTGAAATACCTGACAAAACATTTGTGGTGGGTTTTTTTTTGGTCGACTCATCTTCATTTCCTTCCTGAATTAGGGATGCCTTACAAGACAAAAACTTGAAGTAAAACGGTTCTTTCAAATCCGAGAGCATCTATATCTGGGTAATGGTGAGAGAGAAAAATGCATTTCAATTAGGAAGCAAAGCCACAGTGGAACTAAAAGCAAGGATAGACTAAACACATGAACACAGAGAGCCGCCTCCCATCAATCAGCTTTGATTGTTATGAAGCCACAGTTACCCTGAGGTGCATCTGAACACTCTCAGAGCCTCCTTGCCATGGGGAAAGCGCCTGTGATTTCATACCCATTTCTTTCCCGACCTTAGTGGATGACATTGGGAATAAATAGATTGAGCTTTTCAGCTAGAGATCCTGAAACACAGATGACTTGGAACCCAGATGCTCCATGTTTGCATGAGCTTGCCTACATGCCTTTGCACAAATGGGCTGTAATGTTTAGGTAGCAACTACATAATCCTGAAAGGGACTCCCATTTTCTGGAAGCCTTTTCTGGGTCTCCCAACCTACCTCAACCCAGAACTGCCCCCT